GCGGTGGCGATGCACTGGGCCCGTTAGCGCCGGGAGCGCCGGGCAGCTGAGGCGGGGGGCAAGCCCTTCCTCTGAGGAGCCGCGCCCCCGGCCCCGCCGGCCCCGCCGGTCCCGCCGCGATGCTGTTCCACAGTCTGTCGGGCCCCGAGGTGCACGGGGTCATCGACGAGATGGACCGCAGGGCCAAGAGCGAGGCTCCCGCCATCAGCTCCGCCATCGACCGCGGCGACACGGAGACGGTAGGCGCGCGGTGGTGGAGACGGGGCTGAGACCTGGGACCTGGCTGGGCCGGGCCAGTCAGTGTCTCTGCTCCCCGAAGTTTGGGGAGAGTCCTTCGGGCAGCGCGGGACTGAGCGCTGGGGATCCTCCGACAGGAAGCAGGCCCATCGCTCCAAGCTCTGGGAACCCGGCTGCTGGGGAGGAGGAGGAGGAGGAGGGAAACAAGGTTGAAACCGAAATCTCGGACCCAGAGAGTGGAGGAGAGCATTTCTCCCAAGTGGAAGCGCGGTCCTACCCGCTGCCCGGGCGGCTGCCTTCTCACATCGCCCGGGGCTCGGGTCCACAGTCCTGGTTCTCCTTCACGCTCGGCTCCTGCTCCCCTGCCGCCGCCCTCGCTGCCGGAGAAGGGTGAACCGACCGGGAGCCTCTGGGCTCCAGCCGGCGTGGGTCGCTCCCAGTCTCCCGGCAGCCGTGACTTTCTCCCCAGCACAGTTCGTGGGCCCGCAGTCTTCTAGGCCACCACTTTTCGTTAGTCGTGTCCCTACGCCTCTGGCCGCGGGACCTGGCCGGGCCAGGGCTCCGAGTTCAGGCTTCGGCCTGGCTCCAGTGGAAGGAGACTCCATTCGGATCTTTACACCTGGCTCTGCCGGCTCAGCCCCAAATAGCTAGCTCCTGGCCTCCCAGGGGCCCAGAAGTGACCTTTAGAGACCGAAGTGGTGGAGAGCACAGGCAAAGCTTCTCAAGAGCCGCAGCCTAGTGGCCTCCCAGCCTCGGAGCCCTTCTTTCCCGTTACACCGTCTCAGTTCCTGCATTTCCTTAGGAAGGGATTTGGGCTGGGCCTAACCTGCACCAAGAGACTTTGAGGAAGATCCAAGAAGGCTCAAGTCAGTGTGGTAGAGAATCCAGAAATTGCCTCCCCTGTCCTGCCCTTGGTTCAGTGATGCAGAGATCACCGGGCCAGGGCCAGGAACTCCGCAGCCGCTCTGAAGAGGAGTCAGTGTGACTTTTAATGGTCACCTTACCCTTTTTTGCGGGGCCCGGCTGGGTGGCTCTTTTAAGAAATATTTTGAGAAACATTCTTGGAAGGCTGACTGTAAGAGCCATAGCTACCCCAGACCCTAAAAACACAGGGAGAATTTCTGAGAAAGAGAGGAGCCTGGAAGGGGGGCGCAAGGCAGAAAAACCACCTAGACTGGGACCCTGGAGCTTGGGCTTATGGCTGCCGAGAGCTGGGCCATTGGGCCTGGGCCCTTAGCTGCCCAGATCTGGACCTTTTGGGTAGAGGAAGCGCTGTTGCCCAGGAAGCTCTCTAGGCTTTCAGGGCTAACCGATCGGAGGGAGCTGTGGGTGCCGTTTCTTGGTGGCTGTACAGCAGCAGGCTGACGCAGGCACAACGGTCTCCCGCCTTCCTCCCTTCGCAGACCATGCCGTCCATCAGCAGTGACCGTGCCGCGCTGTGCGCAGGCTGCGGGGGCAAGATCTCTGACCGATACTACCTGCTGGCTGTGGACAAGCAGTGGCACATGCGCTGCCTAAAGTGCTGCGAGTGCAAGCTCAATCTGGAGTCGGAGCTCACCTGTTTCAGCAAGGACGGCAGCATCTACTGCAAGGAAGACTACTACAGGTAGCCCCCCCTGTCCTTCGGGACCTGACCCGCCTGAAGCACAAGTTTGTCCCTCTCCATTACCTCCAGTCCCAGTAGAGGCTACCCTGTTCAGGACACCCCTTCTCCAAACCATCATGCACTGGGTGACAGCCTTTTAAAGCAGCAGTTTGGTAAGGTTAAAGCAGCTCTGGATAAGGTTCAGGAAGTGTAGGGATCAAAGCAGTAGCTGCCCTCCCTTTTGAGCTTAGATCACAAATAAGTTTGGGTGGGGGTCCTTGCACTCCCCTCTTGAGGTTTCTTGTTTTTACCAGAGGAGATAGAGCTAAAGACCTCCAAATCGAGGCAGCTTGGGGTGGTTGGGACAAAGTCGGGAGGAGAACTGGTGCATTTCTGGGAGCGAGGGGAGCTAGGGTTGGCCTGAATTAAAGGGCCAGAATCATGAAGCGGCTCGAAGGTCTGTTTCTCCTCTCTAAGTTTAGGATTAGGGTCTGTTTATATTCACTTTCTATCTCTGTCTAGCTTTCTCTCTCTTTCCCAGTCTGTTTTTTTCCAAATCACGGAGGTCTGTAGGATTCCCAGGTGAAGTTAGAGGACAGGGGCAAAAGTTGAGAAAGGGGTAAGTGGGGGAGTGTCTTCCAAGTAGAGGTTTTCCATGCGGCTTGCTTAGGCTCTGGGTAAAGTAGTAGTTCTTCTGGGCATAAAAATGGTTCAAGGGAAACTATTTCAGGGTAGGACGAGGCCTGGGTCAGAACCTAGTTCCCTTTCCCCTCATCTTTCAGATGAAAGCCGGGTGGCCCATCTTGAGGAGAGGCTCTTCCCCAGCTGCAGCGGGCACCTGGAAGAGGGATATGGGGGTACCCAACCATTTGTCTCCACAGCCCTTCCCTCTGTGGTCCCCACAGGCGGTTCTCTGTTCAGCGCTGTGCCCGCTGCCACCTAGGCATCTCGGCCTCAGAGATGGTAATGCGTGCTCGGGACTTGGTTTATCACCTCAACTGCTTCACATGCACCACGTGTAACAAGATGCTGACCACTGGCGATCACTTCGGCATGAAGGACAGCCTGGTCTACTGCCGCTTGCACTTCGAGGCGCTTCTGCAGGGCGAGTACCCAGCGCACTTCAACCATGCCGACGTGGCCGCGGCAGCGGCTGCAGCTGCTGCGGCCAAGAGTGCCGGGCTGGGCACAGCGGGGGCCAACCCGCTGGGGCTTCCCTACTACAATGGCGTGGGCACTGTACAAAAGGGGCGACCGAGGAAGCGCAAGAGCCCGGGGCCGGGGGCGGATCTGGCAGCCTACAACGCTGGTGAGTGTGAGGCGAAGGGAATATCGGGTTGGGGGAAAGTGCGGTCAACTACAGCCCAGAGCTGGAGTGAATCTCTGTATGCTGGGCCTACCTCAGGTGCTGTGGCCCTCAGCTTCCCAGGCCCCAAATACCTGATGGCCTGGCAGAAGGGAAATTAGGAGGGGGCTTCAGCCCATGCATCCTCTGCCCACTGCAGGAGAGGATGCATTAGTTTCTTGCTGTTCCACATGTAAGACCTCCTCGTTGAGAAATGGTGTTTTGGAAACGGCCTTTCCATTTAGACCTTTCCCTTTTCTGCTGGTCAGAAAGTGCAGTGATAGAGAAAGCAAGGCAGCCCTGACACCTAACAGGCTTGGGTTGGCAGGGCAAGGGCAGGGAGCTGGAGTAGTACAGGAAGGCAGCCTTGTGAGGGTCCCAAGGGAAAGGGCTCAGTGGTGGCCGGGGGCTCAGACCTGGGCTTTTGGCTCCATGGTGTAAAATGTCCCAAGAGCGGATGGCTTGGGGAACTTGGGCTCCAGAACCTTTACTAAGCAAAGGCTGTGTGGGTCCCTGTGCCGAGCTGATCCTCCTGCGTGGCCAGGTCTCAGAGGCTTTCTCCGGCTCTTTCCTCTGAGTTCTTGGAGCCTGCTGGGGTGAGGGCGCCGACCTTCCAAAGCTGGCGCCAGGGGAAGAGTCCTGAGCAGCCCTGGCCTCAAATGGGGGTTGGGGGCTCATTTCGCATTTCCGGCATCTTTGAACCCTGGACCTTTCTGGGAGAAGCTCTGCCCCCTCGGTGCCCTTCCCCGCTCTGGACAGCTTCCGAGGTTCTGAGGCTCAGCAGATTGAACCCTCAACATCTGCCCGAAGACTGCAGGGCCAGGAAAGGTTTATGACTCTCTGGGCTTCTGAACTAGAGTTTATTTACAGTAATTTTCTTTCTTTCGTTTGTAATAGAATCGGATTCAGAGATTTGGAGGTTTGCTGTCCTTTTCCCATTAGTGGAAAGCACAAACGGGAGCAAACCAAAACCAAAACAAATACAAGGCTGTGTGTAGGGGGGGGCCACAGTGGCGAGATCAAGGTTATTTTGAACTTAAAGGGTCTGAGCTGGCTAGGGAGGGAAGCAGGGGGCGAGTGGGGTGGGGTCCATTTTGAACAAGCGAAATTGTTAGAGGATCTTGGGGCCAGCTGGGGAGGGATGCAGTTCCCGATTTGGTAAATGGCGAAGTGGCTGGCTCAGATTGGCTCAGCAGATTTAAGATTTGTTGAAGGGACTACTATAAATGCCATTCTCTGGAACTTCTGTTCCTCATCTCCCATTATCCCAGAATTAAAGACTAAATCCAGACCAGGCTGTGTCCCCCTAAATGAAACCATCACTATTTGTGAAGTGGGGTCAGCTTCGGTAGGAAGCAGTCTCCAAGGCTTCGGGGCACCTGGTGGGTGGGGAGTGGTTTAATGTTTTCCTGGTTTGGCACCTGGTTTGGAATTGTGCAAAAAGAGGGTAGAAGGTTTAGGTTTATTTTTGTTTCTTTGCCGCTCAGCCTTTGCTTTCCCCCAGAGGCGCGGTGAGATGGCTGGTGCTGAGTTTCCTGCTGGCACGGCTCTCCAAGAGACTCCTGACTCAGCCACCTCATTTTCTCTTTGGCCCCGCTTTCGTTTCTTTCTTTCCTTTTTGTTCTTTGCTCTCGGTGTCTCTCTCCCTGTTTCTCCTTCCGCTGCGCTGGTCTCTGGCCTTGGCCTGCGCTCAGTGCTGGGAGGAATTGCGTGCTGGGAGCCGGGAGCCGGGAGCCGGGAGCCGGGAGCCGGGAGCGGGGAGCCGGCGGCGGCGGCGGCGGCGGTGGCAGTGGCGGTGGTGGTGGTGCGGCTGCTTACGCCTGGCTCCCAGAACAAGACTGGGAAAAAGAGGATAACTCCTTGTCCTTGACGGGCCCAGCCAGTCCTCCCCACGTCTGGCTTCTGCCCCCTCTCCGCTCTGCCGACTCTGGCGGGAGAGAAATGGCTGCAGTGTGGGCCGTGGGGCAGCTGGAATTGGAAAGTGGGGCGCATAGAGGGTGCGAGCTCGAGCTAGTGTGTGCGTGCTTCTGTGGGGTGCTTCTGGCTGCGGGGACAGCGCTTGTTTAAGTGTCACACATCCAGGGGCCTAGCCACACGGACCCCTTCCAAAGCCGGTGGTTCAAAGGGACAGTCCCGCCAGGGGCGGTGAGCCTGGGGCCGAGTGGGGACTTCGGCTTAGGGAAGGGCAGCCGGGGTGGACAGCAAGGGACAGCAGGGTCGGAAAGTCCTTCCGGGGCGGGGAGCGTTGCAGCCCTTCTCCAGCGCCCCGCCGATCGCAGTGCACTGTCCCAGCCCGAGAGGCCGACCTGATCCTCCCCCAAAGCCCGGACCGGGTGCCCTCTTTTTGCTCCGGGTCTTGGGAACGGCGGCGGCAGCGGCAGCCGAGGGGCCGGCCGCGCACTTTGCGCCAGGCTTTGCGCGCCACGGCCACAGGAGTCCTGCGCGGACTGACGGACGCCCCGAGCCTCCCCCATCCCCAGCTTTTTGTGTGTGTGCCTGGCGAAGTAATTACTGATTTGATTCCAATCCATTATTTAGACAATTGAACCTACAATCTCGTCTTTAGTAAAATGAGGCGAAGTCAGATTTGATTACAGGTTCAGCCCCAGCGACAAGAGCTCGAAACCCGATGGGTTAATAACAGATCACGAGTAAATTATTCATGATTTTACGAGCTCTTTAGCTCCATTGAATCGGCCTAATTGAGAGGAAAAGAAAAAAAGAGAGAGAGAGAGAGAGAGAGAGAGAGAGAGACAGCGCGAGCCCCGTCCTCCCCCTCCCCTCGGCCCCTCGCTCCTCCCCGGATCCGATCTTGGGGAATCTCGACTTTGGGGGCGGGTGTGAAGGGGTCTGGGATGTGAGGCTGCCTTCCCAGCCGGCCTCCCTCCCGGGCAGGCGCAGCCCCCTGCCCCGCGCGTGGCCAGCCTCGGCCTTTCCTTCCCTTCTCTCTTCTCTCCCCTCTTCGCTTCAGAAAAGTCCTCCCCGAAGGACCCACTCTCCTAAAACCCCAGGACAGAGTTCCGACCCTAAACCCCACCACAACGCCCCCCCTTTCTCTGGGACTTGCTTTCCCCTCCGCCCTCACTGTGTCTCTCCTTATTCCTGTCTTTGTAGCTATCTCTCTGGTTCTCCCCTGTCTGCATCGCTTTCCCCGTCTCGCCTCTCTTTTTCCCAAGCTCTGTCCATCCTCTCTCCCTACCCGCTCTTCATTTCTCTGTCTCTATTCTCTTTCTACCTCCCTTTCTGTCGTTTCTCTGCCCTCTTCCTCCCCTGCACCACCTCCCCCCACTTAGGCCGCTCTCGGGGCACATCCCTGGGGCCCACGGGGCGCCAGGGTCCCCACGGAGCTCATTAACAGTGGAGAGGCCCAGGTGGGGGCTGGGCGGGGGGGAGGGTCCAGAGATTCCCCGGGGGGAGGCCTGCCCCACCCCCGAGGAGTTGGGGGCTGGGGCAGAGAGAAGGATGAGTCCCTCAGCCGGTTCAGTACAGCTCGGGACAAATTCAGTTCCACATCGCACCCTTGTGATCCCCTTTAAATTCTTCACTCCGGGTGCTTCTGGTGGGAACACAGGGTGGCCTGGTAGACTGGAGGACCTGGGTGCCTGGGTCTGTGTGGCAAGGGACCCAGAGAAGGTGTGGCTCCCAGCTCCAAGGTTAGGGCAGAACCTGTACCTTGCAAATTCCATCTGCAAGGGGGAGGAGGTCATAGCCGAGACAGCAATACTACTTCCCTGGTAGTGTTGCCAGATACACTGCCCAGTGGAATTCGAATTTTGGGTAAACAATGAATAAGGTTTTCATATGAGTACGTTCTGTACAATATTTGAATTTTAGATAACGAATACGTTTTAGTGTGTAAGTCTATACCAGTTAATATTTGAACATTAGATAAACAACAACTAAATTTTTAGGACAGATTCGTTCTTTGCAGTATTTGAACTTCAGATAAACAACAAATAAAATGTTAATACAGCTATATCCTATGCAATATTGAGGACGCATTTACCAGTAAAAAAAAAATTATCTGAAATTCGCATTTAATTAGGTGACTAGTACTTTTATTTGCTGAACCTGGCACTTCTGTTATGAGCATGTGATGGGACACGAGATATCCTCCCAGTTCACCATTTTACGGGGTTGGAATTTGAACTTCTTATGAGCCTCAGCCCAAAGCATGATCGAAAGAGTGGGTGGCTCTGGATAAGGGAGTCTTGAGAAGGACCTCACATGTCCCTCGCATCAGCTGCCAGTTTACTGAGCAACTTTCTGAGGTTCAGGGTTTCTACCCAGACTCTCTGCCCCAGCCTGCACCCCGGGAGGCTACTTTGGGATGGGGACAGGCTCCCCACAGAGTCATACTTCCTCATGCCTCCCTTTGTGGTGCAGTGGAAAGAAACAGGGAGAACTCAAGTGTTGAACCTAGGCTCAGTCATTCCCAGTGGTGTGGCCACGGCAAGTGGCTGTGTTTCCCTTAGCATTAGTTTCTTCCTGTCTAAAATGGGAATGGTAGTGGCGGGACTGTGACATATGTGAAGCCAAGGCATAAGGTAGGTGTCTAATACGCGTTAATCTCTTCTTCCAACTTCTTTCCCTTTCCAATAAGAACCCTACCACCTGCCCTGTGAGCCCGCCACGGATCACTTAACTTCCCTGAGCCTCGTTTTCTCTGTTTGTAAAACCAGGAAACAACCCCTTCATGGGACAGTGGTGAGGATTAAACTACAAAATGCATTTTCCAACCTTCAGCCCAGTGGCTGAGGCCCAGGGGGTCTCACAGTACTTCGGGATATGGAACTAGTGAAAGCAAAATGAAAATGAGTCTGTCAGTCAGCAGCTTCTGCCAGACTCTGAAGGGGGAGACAGAAACAGCTGAGTTTTCCTTGGAGAGTACTGGGGAAACTGAAAGAATGTGGCCCGGAGACTTTTGATGCTGGGTACACAGTCAAGTAACTTCCCTTTCTGAGCCTCAGTTTCAACATCTGTAAAAAGGGAAAACAACACCTGGCTCATAGGGTTGTTTAAGCATCTGGTGGAAATGTGCCTGTAAAGCCGTTAGCACATCATCTGTAGTTCAGTAAGCCATCAACAAGTTGTAGCTATTATTGATGCTGCTGCTGCTGCTGCTGCTGCTGCTGCTGCTGCTGCTGCTGCTGCTGCTGCTATTACTATTGTAACAAGATGGCTTAGAATGGTTTTTGGATTCTCCCAGAGCTGAGATCGAATCCTGCACTGCCTAGCCCAGTGATCTCAGGCAGGCCACAGTGTGCTCTTGGAGCTTCTTTTTTCTACTTCTGTACAAAGCGGGTAATGTTTCCGTGTTAGCCTGGGAGCACACAGAACACTTTGGCAGCGGTTGGGGAGATTGTGGACTTAGCTTTGGTGGGAGGGTAGGGTTAGGAAATTCACCTGCGGCCTCTGTGTCCCTTCCTCAGCACTGAGCTGCAACGAGAACGATGCCGAGCACCTGGACCGCGACCAGCCCTACCCTAGCAGCCAGAAGACAAAGCGCATGCGCACCTCCTTCAAGCACCACCAGCTTCGAACCATGAAGTCTTACTTTGCCATTAACCACAACCCCGACGCCAAGGACTTGAAACAGCTCGCCCAAAAGACGGGCCTCACCAAGCGGGTCCTCCAGGTTAGCCGGGGCTAGGGTGAGGGAATCTGCAGCTGACAGGGCCAGGGAAGAACCTCACAGTGGCTGCGCGGGGTGGGGTTGGGGGGAGCTTCAAAGAACCTTCTGCTTTGGTCTGCCTTCTCTCTTTCTCCCATTCTTCGGTCTGTCTCTGAATTTCTATCTTTTTTTCCCTAACTTCTCTCAATTTTGCCTCTCAGTTTTCCCTTTGTGTATGGCTGTCTGTCCTCACAATCTCTCTACTTGGTCCTTTTTCTTTCTTGAAAACAATTTTTAATATTTACTATTCACGTGGCTCTCAGATATGTTCACATTATAAAAGGTTCAAGCATTTATGGTAAATCCAGAGCTCTACCCCCTCCGCCCCATCCCTGATAGACCATCCATCCTGGTGACTGTTGACTAATTTTTGCTTCTAGTACCCCCACTCCCAGTCTCCCTAAGTGCGTCTCCTGCCCCTCCTTGCTGTCTCCCAGACTTGCCAGGAAGCAAGATTTGGTGGTGCTGTGCCAGGCACGCAGATCTTCTATGGGTGTGGGGGCTTGCCTGGTGGGGTCTGCACTTAGGGTATTGCAGGAATTGGCTGGGTGCTGAGCTGAGCATTCAGAGGCTGAGCAGAACTGTACTTTATGTGAGGTTCCAGAACTTCCATCAGACCCCCATAACCCCAAGGATATTGAGAACTTTAGTCTAGGAGTGGTCTGTCTCGGGGTGCATGACCCAAACTTGTGACAGTCTTGGGCCAATAATTCTCAACTTTTTTGCTCCTCCTCTTATTCATTTCATGATCTTGGGCAAGTCACTCAACTCTTCTAAGCCTGCTTCCCCCTGTGTGAAATGGACACAGGAAATCACCCATGCCACAGGGTTCCAGGAGGAACCATTATTATGATATAGGTGTTTGCCTCAATACCAGTCGCTATTCCACTCAGGGGGTATATTAAGTTGGTTAATTAGCTGATATTAATTAGTTCATATGAACCATTCTGTTGTTGCTAGACCTCAGTTTCCCCATGGTACAAAGCAGGACACTTTTCCCTCTGTAGCAGGTTTACTAGTTTATTCTTCAGCACATGTGGTTATGGTGATAGCAGTGCATAATTTTAGGTGAGAAACTCGGGATAAAGGGACCTGACCACGGCCTCACAACAGGAAGAGCCAATCTGACCCACCCTTTGGCCTAGGTGTGTGGGATGGAGGGCTTGGGAGGTGACATTAAGGGGGTGATGGTGTAGGTGACAAGTCAGGAGGGCTGTACAGCTGTCCTGATATTCCTGAGAGTCTGTTAGAAAACAAAACAAAATAAAAAAGCAAAACAAAACAGGTTTGTGGGGTGGCGGGGCTGTGCTGGTTGGGACTGTGACACGGCAGACCGTAGATCCCCGCAAGCAGCCATTGGGGTGCGGCACACCGCGGAGTGCCTGGGGCTTGGCTGCTGGGACGCGGCGCCCGAGGTAGCGAGGAGGCGAGGGCCAGCCAATGGGACGCCGGTGCGCCTCTCTGGGCCCGCCCCTCGCGGCCGCCTAGCCCGGGCCTCTGGTCCTACTGGGGCTGATGGGCACTGCCGCGCTGTTGGGGTCTTGGGTCTCCATCGTGCATTTCTTCGAATTTTTGCCTTATTTGTGTTAGGTCGAAGACCTTTTTTGACATCCCCACCCTTCAGACCTGGACGAATTTGGGCTGAGGACTGGGGGTGTCGCGTTCTTCTCTACTAAGAATGTTTCATCCCTTCCTCTCCCGGGACGCCCAGGGCTGTGCAGCGGCAGCAGGGGGCATCGCTTCTGCTCCTGTGAGTCCTCAGCAGGGCCTCGAGCGGGGACTTGGTGGCAAGCAGAACTCGGTTCAGGAAGATCTGGGCTCAGGGCAATGGCTGTGTGTCTTACACAGTCAGTTACCCTCTCTGAGCCACAGCTTTTTCATCTGTTAAAAGGGCACCTTTAGGGTACCTGCCCAGATTAAACAAAATAGAGTCAGTGCACACAGTTGAGGCTGAATACTGGCGGGGAGCGGGGGTGGAGCGCGCAGGAAGCTTGATTTCCTGGCTTAGCAGTATATCAGGTCCCAGCATCGTTCTCTCATTCTTTCATGTCGCTAAATACCGGTACCAGGCTCTGGGACACAAAGACGAATGAACTAAAAAAGCGACCTATTCGATATAGGAAGACCCACATACAGTCAGTTTCCCCATAGTGTAATTTGTTGGGGGGCTTCTGCCAGGGGAGAGACCAAACCTTCCTGTATGTCAAACTGTGATTTCCTCCTCCTGCAGTATACAGGTGACATCGTTGAGGCCCAAATGATTTCTAATCACTTAAAGTCACCCTTGGCTGGGTCCAGGTTTCTCTGACTGATGAACGTACTTCTTTCTCCTCCAAGCCAGCCCAGGTCCGATGTCTGCGTATGAGTACCCTTTAGGGGCTGTGTGTTTGTGGGAGGGGCACACCTGTAGCACTGCGCTAGTCTTCCTTCCCCCAGACCTCCGGACGTCCTTCGTGAATCTGTCATGCTCCCCAACAGTGCATCTGCTCATAACGGTGCAGCGGTTTGCAAAGCTCCTTTTTGCCTCACCTTAATATTTCGTTACCTGTTTTGTAGTTGGGAAACATAAGACCTAGTAAGATAAAGCGATGTCTTGTAGGTTACAGGAGCCAGGCATCATCAGAGTGAACTTGTTTCTGGTTGCCCTGACTGCTACTGCGACATCTAGGGAACCTAGGATGGAGGCGGTTTCGGGTGGCTAGTGGTGTGGCTTTGAAAGGTAAAGGTGAATCCTCCCTAAGTTACCTGCAGTGTGATTGGAGTGCTTGAATTCTTCTTCTCTAACCAGATTCCTTATCTGTGAAATGGGAATAATTATAGTTTCTACCTCAAGGCCTCTGACCTGACGGGAAGATTTCCGTGTGGTGCTTGCTGATATACATTAGATGTCCACTCAACTGTTCCTTGTCACTGGTCCATGCCGGCTGAATGATGCTGGGCCTCGAGTGCCCCCTGCAGGTTCTCCCCCAAACTCATGGCCCACCTCAACCTTCCAGAGAGGGTTTGCAGGGAGAGTAGAAGTGGAGCTGTGTTCCCAGAAGTGGATAATGTAGAAAGCGTGTGGAGGTGTGTGCATGTACAGGTGTGTGTGTGCCTGCGGGTGTGTATGTGCACATGTGCATGCATGCACACAGGTGCAGGGAGGCGGTCCTCGGCTATTACCAAACATGAGCACCACCAGCATGGGAGGCCTGTGATAGGGCATCACTGTTGGAATTTGGAGTCGGGGGAAGTGAGGTCCAACTCAGCTCCCCACTTACTCACTGAATGATCCTGAGGAGGTGACTTAATCTCTCTGAGCCTCAGCAGCCTCAGCTGTAAAATGGGGATGATGGTGATCCTTACCTTACTGGGTGGTTGCAAGGAGTACATGATATAACATAATGTCCTACTTTTTATGAAGCATGTACCAGGGACTCAGTGCATGCTAATCTCGCACACATTTACGTAGCAGGGTCTCTCTACCAGCGTCCTTTGCACACCTTTAAATTTTTCCAAAAATTTTATTTTTATTTTCTTATTTTTGTGTGGTACTGGAGAGTAAACCCAGGGTGTCATGAATGCTAAGCAAGTGCTCTACTACTGAGATCTGTCCGCAACCCTTTCTCTTTTGCTTCTTTTTAGACAAAATCTTGCTGAGTTGCCCAGGCTGGCCTCCTGAGATTCACCTGCCTCAGCCTCCTTTATGGCTAGGATTACAGGCATGGCACATATAAAAACGTTGATGAACGTTTTGCAGATGAGGAAACTGAGGTTCAGAGAAGCCTTGCCCCTTACCCTGAGTCTCACAGTGATGAAGCCCAGAGCAGTCTGATTCCAGTGCTCTTTCTGGGGTCGTGAAGTGTGGGGACTGTCACTTCCCCCTTGGATTTAGCTGCAGAATGCCCCAGTACAGGTGGGAGAGGCCGGAAGGACCAGGTATGGACACTGTGCCTGGACAGGAAAGCAGGGACAGGAGACGAAACTGATCACATAAAAAGTGCTCAAGCTTGGCACGGCAGCAGCGTGGCAGGGACAACACTTGTTCCATCCCTGGGTGAGGTGCCGAGGAGCCAGAGAGGCCCCAGGGGAACGGCCCCAGGACGGAAGTCTGGATGACCTTAAGCCTTGCAAATTTCCCAGCACATAGCTTCCCCTCTTCCTTCCTGGAAGGTGGAATATTGAGGTGCTCTTAATTTGGGGAGAGAGTGGGAAGATAGTTGACTAGGATGGGTAGAGCTCTTTTTAGGGATTCCGGGGGTGACTTTGAAAGAAAATATATTTTAGCTGAGGCTGGTGACATACACTTATAATGTTAGCTCTCTGGGAGGCTGAGGCAGGAGGATCACAAGTTCAAGCCCAGCCTGGACAATTTT